CCCCCCCCCCCCCACCGCCAAAACAAAAGCAAATAGCTTTGCCCACATTAATATAAGCACAAAGAAGTTATTATTGTCTGACACAATTTAAGAAGTAATTATTTCAGAGTTTAGAACATTTAATTTCTGTATGAAATCCTATAAAAAAAAAGAACAAAAAAGCTGTATCTGATAACATCCACAAACTTTAAAGTATTTAAGTTAAAAAAATTATCCATTTTTTTTTATTTGTTCTACACTGGAGGTACAGGTAATATTATCTCTTGATAAAAAAATGTTAATAGTCTATTATTTATTGAAACATTGTATTGTTTGTTTATTAATTTGTGTATTATTTATATAAATAAATAAACGATAAAATTAATCATTACAAAATACATGCTACAAAAATTTGTAGAATATTAAAATTTATCCAAATAATTCTCAAATTGCAATGCCTGGGCTTTGAAAAGGAAATGACTAAAAAAAAAAGTAAGGTCAAACCTGAAAAAAAGGACGCAACAAAACAACGAACGTGTCGGCATGAAGCCTTCTACAGCAAACAAACAAAAGAAAAAAAATAAATATTTTTTTTTTAAAATAGCAATATGGGCAATGACTTCGAGCTTAAACGGACTGAGCTCATCCCACAAATTGAGATAAATGTGTCAAACATAAATAAAATGTCTTATTATGTAATGTTATTTCCAGCAATAAGATTAATGGCGAACACTTAACATTTATGAAGGACTTTCTTTTTCGTCATTTGTCATGTGTGGTGATGAAGGCGCTTAGCTGAAACAAAATGGTTTTATTGTCCTGTGTTTCTGCTTCAAGCTTCCACATACCTTGGTAAACTATTTCCTTCATGCTGCTTGAGCACAGTCTTTCATCTATTATACTACATATGAAAAATGATAATTTGCTCATCGGACTAACTCCTGCTAAACAGGCCGTTCTAGCGATTCAGATATACCACAGCGCCATTACACCATCAAGCTCTTGACATCTCTCTAATTCAGAAGGCTCAAACTCGCGGCCCGGCCTGCAAGAGAGTATATTTTGCGGCCTTCGACATGACCGCAAAGTTTAGTGTTAATGCGGCCCGCGCATTTTCCCCATTCTCGTATCTATAATGTGACCAACCGCGACGGTTTGAGTCGAGCCTCCACCGTCCAGTCTAATTCTGATTGTCATTATGTTTGTACAGTTTTGAACGTTCGTTATAATGGTAAGTGATGTTTTAAAATTGGATTAAAAGTTTTTAATTTGCAGCATTTTATGCGACAAACTTGGCAAAAGTGCGATTTTGAGAAAACATGTTTCGAATATTTTATAAAGCCCGAAGTTCGGCCAGTTCCCGAATTGGCCGGCCATTTCGCACATGGTCGTGGCATTTTGCCAATGTCTGATGTACTGGAAGTATGCCAGTGTACATGCTACTTTGGCCGGCCACTTCCCGAAGTGCCTGCAAATCCCTGGCCAATATTCGATGTGCTGATGCAAGACTAACAACAATGAGAACAGATTCTATGTTGTGAGGGAAAAAGAGTTTAATTCTGCCCATTCTTGTGGATCTTTCGGCAGCGATGTCTACGCTATTTGTGGATTAAGTAATGAAGCAGACGAAGGTTACGGGTTACCGTCCGGACAGCGTGACACACATACACCGTCCGGACAGCGCGACACACCTCCACTGTCCGGACAGCGCGACACACCTACACCGTCCGGACAGCGCGACACACCTACACTGTCCGGACAGCGCGACACACGTACACCGTCCTGACAGCGCCATGTCTCCGTGTTCAAACGTTGTTTTGTTTTCATAAGCGTTTAATTCTGGTTACCCGGACAAATGTGTTGGACTTTTTCAAACAAATGTCTTATTGAATTAGATCTATTCCTTTTTTTGCCATCAAAGTCTTTTTCAGAAAAAAAATGTAAGATTGTTATTTATTTATTTATTATCTTCTTTTTTGTTGTTGAATTTTGAGAATTTTGTATGATATACCAGGTTCGGAGATAAACTTTACTTAGAGGTTAACAGGGTTACCTTAATATTTTATACACTTTAAATAATATGTCATTGACGCGACTGTGCCAACCAGCTGGCTACACCAAAGGTGTCAGTGTTTGAACAAGTTATTTTCAGTACTGTTCAGTATGTCCTCACCATCACTTCAGTAACTCCGTTACTTTATGCTAATGCACACAACACTGTTCCATCTATGTAAACCGAGTTAGTTGTGATACAGGCACATGTCTCCAATGGCGTCCAATGCAAAACTGGTTGAGGTATCAAGAAAAAGATAGTGTGAGCATGTGTGTTGGTGGGTTCGAGAGATAGAGTCAACGTGATAGAAAAAGAAAGGCATCTCCACGTTTTTGTGTGTGTTTTTTATTTATAAAGTTTACTCACACAAGACCCAACTCAATGATTGTGTCCCATACACGACGGACTACTGTTTGCATTGGAAAGTTCAAAATTTTGTACAAAATTAGCATGAAGGACTAGGACCCTTCTACGTCTTGAAACATTTTTAGGAGTACGTCTTTGGTCTTAAATGAAAGCTGGATCGTTGAAGGACCACAGACATTGAATAAAAGGTGCACCATTGAAGGACCACAGACATTGAATAAAAGGTGCACCGTTGAAGGACCACAGACATTGAATAAAAGGTGCACCATTGAAGGACCACAGACATTGAATGAAAGGTGCACCGTTGAAGGACCACAGACATTGAATGAAAGGTGCACCGTTGAAGGACCACACTGTTACGAATATGATACGAATGAACCAAAAAAAAGTACTTTATAAAAACAATCATAAAAATCAAATATGATGACAAAAGGTCAAAACCCTAAACGTACAACACCGAGAGATAAAAGTTGGATGACAATAAAGCTGTATAATCTCAGGAGATCTAAACAACGTGTTTTGCATTTTTTTGTCATGCATAAATTTTAAACATAAATAATGACTGTTAGACCAATGGGCTCTTCTATATCAGTCAGAGGCGTACGAAGTGGGGATTGATTGGCGCTTAGCCCAGGTTGGAATTCTCTTTCGTTTTTGAATGGAAGGGCAGTATTTTTCTGTAGATATTACTTTTTTTAATTTTAATTTTTTTTTTTATTTCAAGGGCATCAAAAAGTCTGGCCCGCCCTGGGTGTTACAAATCCAACTACGCCACGGACATCACACCTTTTTAGAGCCACAACGTCTGCATTGAGAAAATTTTAAAACAAATGGAAACACACGACAAATAAACTCGCTGGTTAGATTATTCCACTAACAGGAGAACTTTCAACAACAACAAAAATGAACCGGAAATGTTCCCAAAAGAATATCTCTCCATCTCCATCTCCATCTCCATCTCCAAATACATACAACTCTATTTTAAAAAGTAGTATGTAGGCAACTCAGTCCGCTGACGCAAAGCTGCGTAATAACCGTATTGTCCTAAAATGAGATTGATGTGGGTCTCATGAAGGTATAAGTAGAGGTCAACACCATTTCTGAAATACTATGTAGGCAACTCAGTCCGCTGACGCAAAGCTGCGTCATAACCGTATTGTCCTAAAATGAGATTGATGTGGGTCTCATGAAGGTATAAGTAGAGGTCAACACCATTTCTGAAATACTATGTAGGCAACTCAGTCCGCTGACGCAAAGCTGCGTCATAACCGTATTGTCCTAAAATGAGATTGATGTGGGTCTCATGAAGGTATAAGTAGAGGTCAACACCATTTCTGAAATACTATGTAGGCAACTCAGTCCGCTGACGCAAAGCTGCGTCATAACCGTATTGTCCTAAAATGAGATTGATGTGGGTCTAATGAAGGTATAAGTAGAGGTCAACACCATTTCTGAAATAATATGTAGGCAACTCAGTCCGCTGACGCAAAGCTGCGTAATAACCGTATTGTCCTAAAATGAGATTGAAGTGGGTCTCATGAAGGTATAAGTAGAGGTCAACACCATTTCTGAAATACTATGTAGGCAACTCAGTCCGCTGAACCAAAGCTGCGTCATAACCGTATTGTCCTAAAATGAGATTGAAGTGGGTCTCATGAAGGTATAAGTAGAGGTCAACACCATGTCTGAAATACTATGTAGGCAACTCAGTCCGCTGACCCAAAGCTGCGTCATAACCGTATTGTCCTAAAATGAGATTGAAGTGGGTCTCATGAAGGTATAATTAGTGGTCAACCCCATGTCTGAAATACTATGTAGGCAACTCAGTCCGCTGACCCAAAGCTGCGTCATAACCGTATTGTCCTAAAATGAGATTGAATGAGATTGAAGTGGGTCTCATGAAGGTATAATTAGTGGTCAACCCCATGTCTGAAATACTATGTAGGCAACTCAGTCCGCTGACCCAAAGCTGCGTCATAACCGTATTGTCCTAAAATGAGATTGAAGTGGGTCTCATGAAGGTATAATATGTGGTCAACCCCATGTCTGAAATACTATGTAGGCAACTCAGTCCGCTGACCCAAAGCTGCGTCATAACCGTATTGTCCTAAAATGAGATTGAAGTGGGTCTCATGAAGGTATAATATGTGGTCAACCCCATGTCTGAAATACTATGTAACCGAGCCTTAAAACAACAACAACAAAAACTCTGATAGGATGGCGTGAGGTCATCACGGCACCAGATGACAAGAGAAATTCGTTTTAAGTCTCTCGGATCCAGTTTGGTTGCCCTAATGAGGCCATCAGAACGAATGGGGTTGTTATTACAAGAGATGATTCCGGCCATCTGTTATCTACAGCACAGCATCACATCAAAACATGAACAATCCTAATTTTGTCATCAGTTAATGTCAACTATTGATGTACAGCTTCTCCTAACATCCAGATGTGCGTCGACAGTCTTAACAAGACAGGTCCTCGCTTTTTTTTTTTTTTGGTTACTTTATTTGTTTCTACTGTTTTGATCAATGCCAGAACCAAGGTATTCAAAACTTCTCAGTAAGATTATGACGGTCGGCTTCAAGTGTCAGATTGTTTCTGTATCTACTGATGGGATTCATTGTCCACATTGTTTCTGTATCTACTGATGGGATTCATTGTCCACATTGTTTCTGTATCTACTGATGGGATTCATTGTCCACATTGTTTCTGTATCTACTGATGGGATTCATTGTCCACATTGTTTCTGTATCTACTGATGGGATTCAGTGTCCACATTGTTTCTGTATCTACTGATGGGCTTCATTGTCCACATTGTTTCTGTATCTACTGATGGGATTCATTGTCCACATTGTTTCTGTATCTACTGATGGGATTCAGTGTCCACATTGTTTCTGGATCTACTGATGGGCTTCATTGTCCACATTGTTTCTGTATCTACTGATGGGATTCAGTGTCCACATAAACCAGAGTTTTAACTCGTTGAAAGAAAAGTGTGTGTGGATTGGGGGTGGGGAGTGTGCTAAATTATTGGTCTGCCACTGTTCACGTGCAAGATATGTAAGTGTGCATAGAATTGAGCTATGTGCAGTGTGCAAAGGATTGAGCTATGTGTAGTGTGAATGGAATTGAGCTATGTTCAGTGTGCATAGATAAAGCTGTATGCAGGGTGCATAAAATTGAGCTATGTGCATTGTGCATTGAATTGAGTTATGTGCAGTGTGCTTAGAAATGAGATATGTGTAGTATGCATAGAATTGAGCAATGTGCAGTGTGCATAGAATTGTGACATGTGCAGTGTGCATAGAATTGAGCTATTTGCAGTTTACATTGACATACACGAAGTGTGCATATAATTGAAATATGTGCAGTTAGCATATAATTAAGATATGTGCAGTGTGCGTAGAATTGAAATATGTGCAGTGGGCATAGAATAGTCATATGTCCAAAGTGCATATAATTAAGACATTGCACTATAAATAGAATATATATATATTATATATATGATATATTTTATAGTTTTAATTTTAAAAAATTCTTGATAAAGTTAGCAGCCCGTAACATAATCTTTGTTTCTGTATAAGACTGACAGGCCTGGAAAGGGTTGACACAAATTCAAACTAATGTGTTGATTTATTGAGATTGATATTATCGACATAGCTTTAATATATGTATATATATGTCTAAAGGTATTTTGCGCTACATTACAGATAATATCTGAAGAATATGGTTCTTATTAAATGACGTCATTGTCATGTTGTCAGGTTGTAAGGTTGTCAGCTTGCCTAGTTGTGAGGTCGTCAGATTGTCAATTCGTGAGCTTTTCAGGCTGTCCGTTTGTCTGCGTGTCATACTGTCAGTTCCTCAGTTCGTCAGTTTATCAGCTTCTAAGGTTGTCAGCCTGTCAGGTTGTCAGTTATCTAGTTGGCAGGTCGTCATTCCCTCTGTTCATCAGGCTGTCAACTTGCCAGGTTGTCAGCTTGTAATAACGTCAATTCGCCAGTTTTTCAGGCTGTCAGCTCATCAGGTTGCCGGCTCTAGAGCTACTAATTGATGAGCCTCAGCATTACTTTCCCTGTGTTTAGTGTGGCATTCAGGACAAGCTGTTGCAAGCCGGGTCCTATGCTATAGTGTACAACGCAAGCAAATCATTCTCGACAGTTTTATTTAAGGACATCTAAAAGTATATAAATAAGTTCCACAAATTGACTCTTGAGTAAACGCGTTTACTCGTGAGATCTTCTCTATAGCAACAAAAAGTTATTCAATATTTGATGTTCATGGTAAATAACTTTTTTTTAAAATAAAAATTACATCAAAGTTTAACACATAAAAAACATTTTTTTTTTTTGTGTGTCCAGGTGATACCTTTGAGTCTTAAGAGCTGACCATTCCTTTGATTTAAAAAAAAAATGATCTCGTATACTGAAAATAATTTATTTTTATGGACTTGTAAATATTATGTTTATTTATAAGTGTGCAAAAGTGTTTATTGAATTAAAGTATCAGATAGATAAGGGGTCTTCCAAGACCACAGATTTCAGGAATTTTTACAACTTAATATGGCTTATGAGCGTATGACAAAGAATGAAAATGGACTTGGTTAATTAGTTTCAAATATTCTTTTATTGATTTTTTTTTGCCACAACGTAATACTGAATTTTAGCACGATGTATCAAATATATCATTTAATGTTTGGACAGATATCAACAACAATGAAGGGATTCCTAGCAACATATGTCATGTTCTCTCTTGCTGGACTATTGCTCGCCGAGCCGTGCGAGCACAACGGGGTGACTTACAATGTGAGCTCGTGTTTTGTTTTTTTTTTAAATTGCTTTCATTAAAATGGCATGCATTTTATTATTAGAGTTTCTATTTCAGAAATATTGTAAAGAATAAATTGATCTTATGCCTTGATTATAACAGTAATATGAGGGCCAGAACTGCCCTTCAAACATAACTGATTATGTGAGTTACAATTGCAAAGACAGAAAGTATGCTGGTAAATATTACCTCATATAATTATAAATACGTTTTAAAATTTAGTCATCATATTACTTATCATATGTACTTATCATTTTTTTTTTTTTAATTCCAAAAGGACAAGTTTTTTTTTTTAACATATCATGTTTTATGGTTACTCTAAAGATAAAAAAAAATAAATGATTTACAATGCGAATAAGTCAAACATATGTGTGTTGCAGCCCGGTGACGCATATCATAAGGATCAATGCACCACGTGCTATTGTGGTGAGGATTCGGAAGCCTTTTGTATTCCCCTCCAGTGCGATTGGCCGCAGTGCGAAGACGGCGCCAGCCCAGTTTATTTAGAGGATTCATGTTGCCCGGGCTGTCCTTAGTTTATTTAGAGGATTCATGTTGCCCGGGCTGTCCTTGACCCGTTTGTCAATTTGATCCGTATTTGACATCAACGACACGCCCCTTGTGAAATAAATTGACGTTTAAACGTTGACCATTGTTGTGTGACTTTCTGAACCCGACCGTACATAAACCTTAAAGCCTTCCATTTGTATGACGGCAAAGTCTGGGACGGGTTTGAAACTGTTGTCAGGCTAGACGATTGTTAGACGAGGTCGGATGAAGGGGTAGCCAGGGTGTCATAAAAGACTTAGGACATTATCGATCAATGCCGACACCTGGTGGAAACTCATCGTCGTTGACACCAGAGTCTGCGGACGCAGATTAGGAGTACCGTGTGCTGTCCAACTGACGGCTATCTGAACCGATTTGATACTAGTAGGAATCCAAGGTGCATCCGCAGCTCACATGATATAATTGGCCAAGCGTTTTATCGACTCACCGTATTTGAACCTGGAGCGGAGAGGGAGATGCGAGATTGTTGGGAAAAATGTGTGTGGCAGGAAGAGGGTAGAAAAAAAGCTTGAAACATAAAGAGTGTCTGAAATTCGTCGAAAGCAAGATTCAATAGTAAATATTTTCCAATCCCATCCCCTGTGGCGCTAAATACAACCCATGGGTAGGGATTTGGCCTGCCTCACCACATCCTTCCACTCAGAACTTCCATCCATCCATGTAGCGCTACACCCCATGCAGGTCTTTGAGGTGTCTCACCACATCCTTCCACTCAGACCTTACAAAAATTCCTGTGGTGCTTCAGTCCGGGTAGGGCTTTGGTTAGCCTCACCTCTTCCTTCCACTCTACCTAACTGATGCTTTTCTTTTCCAAACTTGGATTCCTAGATGCCGTAGATTTTTTTCCATATCATCCATCTATATAAGCATTGGTCTGCTTTTAACCGTTTTCCTCTGGGGTTGTGGTGGTGTACCCTCTTAACTTCTCAGTCATTTAGAAATCCCACTAAGTGTCTAGACCAGCGTAGTCCCTGCCCTTTTATTCCCATACCCTGGATCAGGGCTCAACAAACTGAGGCCCGTGGGCCGGATCCAGCCCGCGAGGCCAGTTCATCCGGCCCGCAGACGGTACTTGTATTTGCTTGATAAAACTAATGGAACGCAAGACTATGTGAAACATTTTAAATGTCAATATTTTGTTTATAATACTAAGAGATCTTCACGCGTGCGGTGACCTCCTGGCTGCTATGCGCCTTAATTTACACTTTTCAATTTGAAATTATTGTATCTAGATTGTCTTGTTTGTTTCAGATTTGTTTACTCTCGAACCCTCAAAATCTTACAACATCTCCTCAAAATAGTACCATACGGTATCTTAATGGTAAATAAATAAGAGTATAGTATGTAAAATTAATACAATAACTACTCGCATCGAAGTGCCTTTTGGGATCGAGATAAGCTCGCGTCAATAAGTTAGCTCCTAAAAGTAGATGCCCGACGTTTGTAATGCCATCTGCGGTCACCATGTTTTGTAGACGAGCATTTGCTGTTGATGATAAATTTTATTGAGTGGAGGTCAAAATGACATTATCACAGTCTGCCCCTGGTAAAAAATAAAGGTACCGGTGAAATTTAACTCGGTTCAAACTGAATTAGAAATAATTTACAAATAATGACGACAACATTTTAAAAAACCTACCAAGTAACTTGAGGTTTTTGTTTTCAGAAAAATGCTGGATTTAAAATAACATGAGATTCAATTTTCATCAGTCCTATTCCCGCGAATATATTATTGTTAGATAAGTTCCGCAAACTGTAAATGGGTGGAAAAAAAATGAGTGTAAGAAACATATGGGGGGGGGGGGGATTTCAAAATCGCATTCGCGGTGTTTGGAACTAACTGTAAATGGGTGGAAAAAAAATGAGTGTAAGAAACATATGGGGGGGGGGGGCATTCAAAATCGCATTCGCTGTGTTTGGAACTAACAGCCCTTCGGCAAGTTCAGTTGTGCGGAGTATAGAAGACCTTGGAGAGAACATAGTGTTACAGATGCGTGAGAAAGCGAGGAACTTGCTGTGATATTCTCTGGCACTAGATGAGTCTCAGATCTCTCTCAAAGTATTGTGTGTGGCATTTAATAAGCTTATCATTAGTGTACAACGTGTGCACAATATGACACATGGATTGAAATCAGCTATGAGCTGAAATTGTTTGACATGTAACAAATTGTGAGTTTCTTATACTCAGTAAATCTAAACATCCATTTAGTGGCGTATTTTGACTAAATGCTGATTAATGCTAATTACCAAAATTGGCAAAAAAAAATAATTTTTAAGCACATAGATATAATTGAAAAAATAAACGCAACAAAACAGCGAACGTGTCGGCAGAAAGCCTTCGTCAGCGAACAAAACAACAGAAAAAACGGTATACAAATAAAAATAAGAAATAGCACTTAGCTGGTAAGTAGTATCTGTGGGTAGCAATAGAAGTGTGCCTCTATGGCGAAACTGCTGCCCACAGATACTACTTACCGGCTAAGTGCTATTTCTTATTTTTATTTTTATACCGTTTTTTCTGTTGTTTTGTTCACTGACGAAGGCTTTCTGCCGACCCGTTCGCTGTTTTGTTGCGTTTATTTTTTCAGGTTTAACCCTACTCTGATTTACTCATTTTATTTTGTACTAACCTGATTGCAGTCTCTCCCCTTATTACCCATAGATATAATTGATAGAATGTAAATGAATACATTTTCCCAACAACCCACTAGCCTCGAGCCTAATAAAAATAATAAGATCATAAAAACTTCGGAATTTGTTTATGAGACATGTAATAAAAAAAAACATCAATTATTATGTAGAGAATATAATAGAAAAAAACCTTGCAAATTTTGAAGCATGTGGTAATAATAATTTTCCTCATAATACATTTGACGTCAGAGATAAATGGAAAATCCTAAGTGGACCACTTTAAAAAGAGAAAAAAATTGAATTAAGCAATATTAGATATATAGGAGTCAAATAAAATTTAAAGCATATCAATGTGAAATTATCATGAAAGATAAGAATTTTCTAGATATTTTTACAAATGTTAAACAATATTGTAGAACATGTTAATGTTTTTAATAAGATATCAATAGACTCAGTTTAGGAAATAAAAATATGCCCAAGAAATATAATATAATAAAAATGGTTATTTACACAATTTTGTAAAATAATTTTTTTTACATTATTAATTTGTTTAAATTGAATTATTTTAAAATTGCATCTTTGCAGTTGTGATTTAGCTTGCATCGAGGTGCGAACTGGTAGTTAAAAGGTAGGCAATCCATCACTGAGTACCGGCACCTATTTTTTTACAAAAAAAAGAACTGTTAAAAACATTTACATATTTATAAAAAGTAGCTGAAGTCTTTCGGAACCAATCATTGCGAATTAGCAGTGACAATAAATTTACAAGAACAAGTCAAGAATGACGATTATCTCAGCAAGGCCTTTTCAAACACAGTTGTTGGGTTCAGCTGTCTATGTTCTATATACCGGTATTCACTTTTCTGCGTGTTAAATTGTCCGTTGGTTCACTAGTCCTGTGTTTGGATGTGTTATGGTGAGTTGTGGGTTTACTTGTCCTGCGTTCATTTACGCGGCCACCGCAGCGGACACAAACCATAAAGTTTATGCAGCATTAACGATCAGAAATCTGCTTAAAGTAAACCTATACACGGGTAAGCCGCGGCGACTGCGTTGCTGCCCAAAGCCTTAATACTAAACAGAAACATGGCAAGGCCGTGGAGGCCACGTCGCTCTAGCTATGCCGGCGTATTACTTTAGTGTATCAGAGAATGACTTTGGTAATCAGCAGGCCAGACCAGGGAAACGGCGCATGGGCAAAAAAAGGTGAAGAGCGAGAGACTCGGCTACGTAATAGAATTCCACCAACAACAGAGAGCGACCAATTTCCAAGCGTTGGGGGATGTGTAACGTGTCCTCATAATGAGCAGATCTGGGAAACGTTACAAGCGGACCAGGGGTTATGTTGCGATATGTTCACTAGAAAGTTGTGCCACCCACTACCACTAAGTTTTAAAAAAAAAAAAAAAAGAACTCTTCAGCTCGCCGAAAATGCCGCCCCTCATTATAATTTTTTTTTTTTAAGTTGCACCTGTGTGGACCTCCCCTTCCACAGCCCCCTTCCTATGAGAGTGGATTGACTTTTTCTCGACAATTGTGAGTCATAGTAGGCAAATAAGCTATTTAAATGGTCTGTGGTCGGTCAGCTCTAATTTGATAGATGGAAATTAATTATTTGGATGCCACCTAAGTTGACTCTGGTTTGTGGTGAGTAAAATGAGAGGCAGTGTTAGTGATTTTATGTATCTGGATGGAGCCAAGTTGCTTTGTTAGTCATCTGTTTGCAATGGTGTTTATTTCGCTACTGACATATATTTCATTACTTTCTCGCTTTTTGCCTCTTAGTCTTAGTAAATCACCAGCTATATATTGAGAAAGAAATCGAAACTGTCACAAATTTTAAGAAAGGAAATTGACAATTTTATTTAAAGTTTTAACAAACATTTCCCACATAACCCCCACCCTCAAAATTCTAGCCGCGTTACGTCCGTAATGGATGAACAACCGTCCAAAGGAAAAGCAGCGCCCTGGGCGAATGCGCCCCCTGATAATGAGGTCCCTTGCGAGTACCACCTTTACATTGATGTGCATGGATCCAGTGGACTAGATAGAAATATCAGACAAAGTAGATAGATCTATAAAATTTGTAAAAAATTATTTAAATCTATATATATCCAATTTGGCAACTTTTATAGCGTATCTTTGAAGACAGAAGAGTTCTCCTTGTTTTTCCAAAATGGCGCCATTTATGATAAAAGATTCATGAAATATAGTCTACTTTTGTTTTTTTAACTTGTTCAATTTTGTTAAATGGTTATTGTACATAAAAAAAAAACGCAATTTCAGGCCTTTAGTTCCATCAGGTAAAGAGGAAGTTTTAATTTTATATCACTAG